AACGAAAAATGGTTCGATGGAACTCGAGCGATAAGCGAAAATGGAACATTGTTGGTCGTTTTTCAAATTCGCGTGCTTCTAATAAGTTCGAAACGTTTCTCCGGCGTACGAAATCACCGTGATTCTGTGGAACGAAGTATTCCCTTTCCAACGAGTCCAAGAACATTGATCTGCGATATTTTGTTGCCAATTCATGGCAGTTTTGAAAAAAAGTGTCCAAGGTTAGTGTGATTTCTGAGGTCGTGGAATTCTAGGCGAACATTTTTTAGGGTGGTGTTCTTCGACTCATTTTAAAAGTCCAAGTTTCCAGTTTCGTAGCATCTTAATTCTTCTGTTTTATAAATTTTATTTCGTTAATACCCTGCACTGTAAATACAAATGTTTGCGTCTTGTCGATTTCTCATATTCGCATACGTCTGAGTGGTTCAAAAAATTGTTTGGTTCACAATTATTTTAACGAACGAAGTCTCCCCTTTCGAATGAGCCCGAAAAAATTGATCTATGATTTTTGTTTGCCATCGTATAGCACCTTGGATTCTCTTCCGAATGGAATTCTGAAATTCAAAATACCGTAACTTTGTTAACAAAAAAGCTGTAGAATGGTGTTCTTAGATACATTTCAAAGGGTGAAATCTTCGCTTTCGCGCCGTTTGGATTATTTAGTATTAGTGCCCGATCGCGAGTGCCTGATCTCCGTTCCTTCATGAAGTGGCTGAAACGACGAGAAACCTGGCAGAAAAGTATAAATTTCATTGTTTTGTTTCTACACTTTTCATTGATAAGTGTTACATCGACGAGATTGCATAGCGAATATATTTTGGCCAATTGGTGTTATATCAATCATTTCGATGATAATTTTAATGACAATCATTTCAAGGATAATAATTTCAAAGATAATAATTTCGAGAATTATATTTCCAAAGACTACAATTTCGGAGACAACACTTTCTAGAATAACAATTACAAAGATAGTAATTTCTGGGATAACAATTTCAAAAATAATAATTTCTAGAATATAATTTGTGGGATAATTTCGAAGGTAATAATTTCGAAGATAGTAATTTCGAAGATAATGATTTCGGAGATATCAATGTCGAAGATAACAATGTCGAAGATAACAATTTTGAAGATAACAATTTCGAAAATGATAATTTCAGAATTAATAATTTCAAAGATGATAATTTCGAAGATAATAATTGACAATTTCGGTCGAAATTATAGTAATCCTGTTAAATACAAGCAAATACTAAATAAAATATAATTTTCTTGACATTGCGATATCTTCTGAACCGTCGATTAGTTCTTTATTTTCTTGGCTACAACAGTAAAGTCACGATGCTCCTTCCCTATTCTCTTGCGGAACGATACGTCATTATAACGAAAGCCCCTGTAATTAATCCTTTCCAAGACCTTAAAGCGGCACCTCCTCGCGATGATCTGCGCGTAGTTGGAAGTCATGATTCCAGTCACTAACTTCGGTATGCTCAGAAAGTTATGGATTATGCTATTAATTCCAGTGTCAGATATCGGTACTTTCACTTGCTGTCCATTATTCAGCGCATTGGCAACCTCCACGGACACGGACACTAAGCCCTCGCCAATTTTTCGCTGCTGCATCTCCGGCAGCGTAGCCAGGAACATACACTCCATAATACAATCAACATTATAATATTTGAATAAATTTATCTTGCTGTGTATAGCAATCAGAAAATCTACGTAGCCCCTGGCCCGGTGATGTACGCAATTATCATTGAATCTTTCAAGCCAACTCTTTTGGCAAGGTCGCCAGAGGACCGGGCGATGTCGACGATACGGTGGGCGCCCACACGGACGTCGCGGGTTAGTTACAGGATCTCTCGGCATCGGATGATCTCTCAATATCTTAATTTTATTGAGAACAACACCAACAACTTGCTCAGTCATGACGTCGACTGCAACAATGCTGACACCGTCTTTAGCAATTTCCACACAGAGCTCCTCGAGCGCTCTGACGCTACAAGGCGCCGATATCAGATTTACGGCTTTGCAGATGCTCTCGTTGGGGAAAAAGCTTTTCCTTATTACTTCTAATGCTCCCTCCAAAGTATCCTCCGTCAGAGACTCGAACTCGATTTCTCCACCTTCTATGGAGCCCCACTCAATGCAGGATTGAGTTTTAGTTCTGGAACTGAACGAAAAGAAACAATTAATTAGTATGCACGTAATATTAAACGGTATATTAAACGACGGAAGCTTTAATCGAATCAAGTTTCCAGAAACGTTTGGAGATACAGTAATGACTCCCTAACTGACGCTCGGATTACGCACAGAAATGGACAATCTGGGAAGAGGAGACACGATTACTCGAGCCTCGCGGCTCGTTTTTATAGTTATCGGTGAATCGACAACTTTGTAGACGACTCGTTTTTATAAGCGACTAAATTGGAAATATTTATACGCCAGGATTAAACACATTTTTCCGTTCCGAGAAACTTGCAATTTCTCGATCCAACCGTTTCGAATGGCACGATGTTTCAATGCGCATACTTCTAAATTCATAATTTCGAAATTATCTGGTTTCTGTAGTTTCTGATTTTTAAGATTCCAATTTCTGAATCGTCCGATTTTCAAATTGACGGTTTTTAAATTCTCTGATTTATAAATTTACAATTTCGAAGTCAGCTGATTTCTATATGATCTAATTTTTAAGATTTTAATTTCTAAATTCTTTTATTTACAAATTCACGATTTTTATGTTCTCCGATTTCTAAATGTACATTTTTTAAATTATCTAGTATTTAAATGTTCTAATTTTCAAGATTTCAATTTACAAAAATTTGAACAATCGTATCTCCTCTTCCCGACTTGTCCATCTTCGTGCACTATCCGAGCATCAATTAGGGAGAATTCTCCGTATCCGGCCAAACTAGAGGTTGATTCGTGTCTCGATGAAAAATATATTTTATTTATAAATATTTAAATTCGCGTAAAAATAAATTGTTCTTTCTTATACCCGACACACGGGAAACATTAGTCAAAACAAGTGACTGAAGAATGTTCGCGGAAAAATATAGCAAAAATGTACGTACCATTCCATTTTAGTTCACTAAGAAATTCTCACTATACTTCACTGGGAAAATTAACTGAGAAAATTCGCCGAAGTCTTCGCACTGATCACTGCTGATTGCTGATTGCTGCTGCACTGATCACGGAATGAGTGTTTCCGTTGACATCGGCAGGCTATTTATACTGTCCTTGCTAAAGGACAGAACAATGACAAAAGGATACTACCGGAAAAGATGCGCCAGGTATGAAAACGTCTCCCGTGGAAAACCATTAGCCACCGCGGCCGGCTATCAGGTAAGCACATGTACCTACGATGACCGGTCGTGTCATACGGATTTTGCAAGGATTGGCTCGTTCGGTTAAATTAAAAAAAAAAGAGAAGCGGCGGATTAGGCCGAGCCAGTGCAAATGAGTCAATTGAAGGAACCATTGTAAACAGGCTCGCACCGAGCCTTGATGAAAATTATGATTTGCAAGGGAAAGCAGAACCTACCGGGACTAAACAGGGTCTGGTTATTTACGGTAAATAAATAATAACAATATCTTATTTTAAGTTTAACAATATATAAATATATTTAATTTATTTTATTTATTGTTATTATTAATAAACAAAATTATATGGATTAATAGAAAATATATTTCAAATGATATTTAAAATTTCATAACTGAAATTAAGTGATTATTACAATTGACTAATTATGAAAATGATGTAAGTCCATTTAAAGCCAGCAAATATGTATTATTTTGATTAAATTACATATTGATGAATTAGTAGTATTTTATTTTTTTTGTACATAATATAACTGCTGTCTGTTGAAACGAACAACGTGATATTATTTCATGTAGTAAAATGATATAAATGCAATGCATATGCGACAAATGAACGCAAGTCGCTAGCTGAAATCTACATGCATTCGACTGTGCACTAGCAAAAGTCCCGAAAAGCTGTTATTGAAATTAATTTCTCAATGCCATAAATAAAGTTTTTATTTTCAAATAAAACTTTTTTTAATAATCGCTCTATTTGTCATAGCGTGTCATAGCGTATTGGGGATCTCAATTTTGTATCGCGCCTCGGGCACCAGTACGCATTAATCCGCCAATGCTTCGGAGGACTGTTCATTTCGCCCTTGCTGAAGAACAGAGAACCTCGTATTCGTCAAGGACGAACAATGCCGGCGAAAAAGATGCCGGGCATGAAAATGCCTCGCGAATACAACCCTTGGTCGCCGAGGCCGGCCATCAGCTATATGTATACAGTGACTCCCACTGATATTCGAACACTTGTCAAGGTGCAATTTTAACTTTTTTAAAATTAGAGTAGACGATTTGAATTTTTTTTTAGATGATAGAGGGACCTGTATAATAGACAATGTTACAATTTTGCTATTACATACTTGGAATGACAAAACAAAGTAAAAGTCTCTCGTTGTTTAACTTTCTTATCTGAGGAAGCTATTTTTGATCACTTTTAGGCTAATTTTGCCGATTTTTCGAACTTCGAGATATTTAACTAATGAATGTTTAATAAAATATTTATAAATAATTTCTATATATATATATCATTAGTTAATTATATTTATTAATAATGACAAAATCTATAAATTTCGAATACTTCTTTTGAAATATGAAGGTTAATTATTTAAAAATAAATAAGATAATCTAACGAAAATGTAAAAAATGCGTCTTGTTGATCTCGGTAAGTTATACGCATGCTGAAAATTTCATTGAAATCGTTTAACGCAATGGTAAGTTACAAGCGTTAAAAGATTGTAAAAATTGCAAATTTCTCACACTTATTGATAAAAAGTGCGATTTTTGCGATCATTAATTATTTACAGCTCGTACGAAGGTCAACCGATTTCAGTGAAATTTTTAGCATGTACATAACTTACCGTTATCTAAATAATAAATGTATAATTATAATTATTAATATTATATAAATAATAAATTAAATTTTTTAAAATAAAAAAAACACCATTTTCAAAATAAACCATTGAGAAACGATTAAGATTTCCGAATGATTCAATTTGTATTGCGCTTGTCCTCCCGATGATGAATTGTAGACAATATCGATCTATCCGTGCGAAGCAGTATTTTCGTGAAAACGTTACTCTCCCTTATACATTTTAGTATTTTACAGTATTATTGTCCGCATCTGTTCACCAAAAGTCGAGTCGCAGGCGAGTTTTCGTCGAGTCCCTCATTTCAAGAAATATATTTCGCTACCAATATTTTAGGGCATCGTTGGTCAGAATTAAAATTTTTCGTTGAAGATTGTCTGAATTTTTGTTTCATTATCAATTAATTAATAATTGATGATTATTTCATTGGAAATTCCATAGAAATCTTTAGAATACAAATTTTATTTTACATATAAATAAATATAAATTTGAAATGATTATGTCTAAAAATATAGCAGCAATTTTCTTTCAAAAAGAATGCTTTCGTGGCCTTGCGGCTCGTTTTTATAGTTGGTGGCAATCGTTAACTATAAAAACGAACCTCAAAGCTCGAATAATTGTATCTCCTCTTCCCAAATTGTCCATTTTTGTTTCTAAGCTGAGCATCAATTAGGGAAAATTTACTATACACATAACAATTCCATACTTGATATATAAGGAAATTCATTTATTTAATAATAAGAAAGCTATGTATATTTAATGTATCAAGAATGCAAAAAATAATTGAATTAATTTTTAATTATATATTTAATATTTTCGGGGTTATTTTTATTAAAATTGTATAATTGGTATAACTGCGGAATCGAATGATGCGTGAGCAGTGAAAATCAATGTATTCGATGATCGGATGATGAATGAGAAGTGAGAGGCGATTGAAATTGTTATTTACATATATAGAATTTTGAGCGTGAAATTAGCGTAAATATTCGCGTGTATATTTTAATCTTTTGTATAATCAATTGACAATATAAATTTATGAAATTTGATTATCAACAGTATACAACAATTCTGAAATTTCTTCGACATTTTGTTTTTATTGAAAATTCCTTAATAACATATTATTTAATATCATCGAAATTAAAATAGCTGTCAATTTTCGCATTAGCATTGCTGAAATTAACATTCGTATTAATTACTATAAAATTAACACATAAGCTATGTAGTCCGGCTAGAATTTACTATTGTTATAATTTATAGTATTTACTATTATAAATCGATAAAATATGATTATCGACAATATTGAACAATTATAATTAACAACACCGAAAATTTTTCGACGGCTCGATTTTTATTTCGAACATCATGAATTTCACTGGTAAATCGATATATGTATAGCTGTGTAAACAGAATTCGTGCACAATCTGAGCGTCAATTAGGGTGGATTTACTGCACCGTACGGTAAATTGCACGGGAGACCAAGCGGCCGGGCACGGTCATTAGCCAAGAAAACGTAGATTGTTGCGTACATTGTTTTCTTGTTCATTTACAAGAATGCGTACAGTCCGCGGACCTTCCAGCGGATTGGGCAGAGGAAACGTTCACCCCTTAAGGTGCCGTTACGGCCATTCACGATCGAAGAGAATACAAATAACAATTTCTTGGTTAATCTCCCCCACCGTTATTCACCCGTAATCAATAGACTAGAATGCCGTGCTAACGATGAGCAGAACATTGTCCGATGGGGGGGGGGGGAAAGCAGAAATTAAAATCAGAAATTCTAGCATACCCAAATATGTGACATGAACGGTCGGGTCTTAGGACCGGTTGTAAAATTATAAGGACTTTCAAGGGGCCAGACCCAGGATCTCGACTTTGATACTTTTACGACCGGTCCTCGAGTTTATGGCACGCATTATATTATTATATATATATTTAATGATAAAAGTTCTTTCTTTTTCACTTAAAAATCGACGTAAATATCGACATTAAGATGCGATCCTTTGCGATCATCGAGAACGAATCTTTAACCCAGGCACGGTTGTTCTAGTCGACGACTTTTCGAATTGTATTGTAAAAGTGTGTTTACATACCTCATTGATTAATATCTATACGCTGGAACTTGAAAAATCGATGATTATATCGAGAAATAACGAATAGTATAAACAAATAGTTTTGTTGAATAGCGTGTACAAAGCATCGAATCTGATCATCGATATCT